AGTATGAACAAGCACTTAAAACTATCACTAACAAAACTAATATTAATAAACAAGAACTTATTACAGCTAGACTAAAAATCAAATGAACCGACGCCAAGCGGTGTAGCTTGCCTATATTACTTTGGTCTTTCGTCAGTCAACTGTTTCGAACGAGCAACAATGGGAACTAGCAAACACTTGCAAATAAAATAAAAGAAGGAGTCTTTAGAAGCTTCGCTTCTAAAGAAGAACAATTCGAGTTCGTCGCCAGTCTTTTGTTTATAAAAATTTGAAAATGTGAATATTGAGTACGGGATCATAACAATATATATATATATATATATATATTTAAAAACGACTTTTTTAAGTATATATACGTGCAAAAACTACAAATTAAATTTTTAAATACTTAAAAAAAAACAGGAAATTGATTAAATTCGACAACGACATTTACATATAATGAAAATTACGCAAAAAAAAAAAAAAAAACACATACGCGGATATCCATCCGAATATATGCACATGATTAATTATTTATACTCATACATAAAATATTTTTAAGTGTGACTAGCTAATCATTAAAAAAATATACGATAAGTAGAGAGATTAAAATTAATTTTTTCAAAATTCACTTAAATTATTAACTCAATATCCGACTCTTTTTTTTTTTTTTTTTTTTTTTTTTACCACGTACCCAACTTTTTTACTACATCGCGCCTATATAATGCCCATAATATAATTTACATTACGATCAAAATTAGGTAAAAAATTTCCACCACCAACAACAATAAAAAGTTTTGTTTTTCCTTCATTTCCAATCGATAGGGAAAATTACATACATTCACGCCGTGTGGTGAGAATACAAGAAGAAATCGTACCGAAAACCAGGATAAAATTACAAAATGTATCAGAGCGGTTCTCGAGTAAGAAGGACACCTGGTCATCTAAGGTTGAATGCTGAAAAATGTGGTTTTACTCAGGTACCATTCAACCGGAAAGGGTTAATGTAAACTTTCGTATTTCGCTTCATTTGACATTATCATAAACCGTTTGTAAAATTGTGAAATTTATATTATTAGTCACAAGAAAAAAAAGAAGGGTAGATAAGTAATGCAGTTTATAAAATTTGCATTTGGTAATTTTACTTATTGCCACGTTAACCAACATATTAAAATAAAATCAGAAAAAATAGTAGTAATAATAATAATAATAATTAAACCTTCAATTTTTTTCAAGTATCCGATATTTCAAAAATGCAAAAAAATATTCATAAGCAACGCATTCACTTTTATTTTATTTTTGAAACAAGCACGGGGGGAAGGGGAAAAAAAAAAAAAAAAAAAAAAAAAAAAAAGAGAGACAATTATTTACAATGTAACTAAAACAACCCTCCTATATCTATAGCGTAAGCCTTTTCCTCTGCACGTGACTAATTCTCATATTTTCCATCAAATTCATTTCTTTTATCATCGTTTTTACCCATTCTCCCCCTAAATTAAATTCGATTCGATTGATTTTATAATGTTATTATTATTTTCTCACATAGAAAGAAAATTCGCATCATTTTTCAAAATCGAAAAACATTAAAACGTCAATAAAAATTATACTGATTTTTTGTTTTTTTTTTTTAAAACCGTCCTCATCTGACATGAAAATCTCAAAAATTCTTATGAAAACTGCACGGGGATCAACAAATATGGTGGCGAACAAAATGATTTTGACAGTACAATTTGAATCACGGTTAAATTTACGGGTACTCTCCGAAAGAAAAAAATTAAATATACAAAAAAAAAAGTTTTTACAAAGCAAAAGCGAACAAATGCGAATGCCAATAAGAATTTTATTCGGGAAATTGATTGACTGATCAATCAAATCAAAATGCATTAATAGAAATTTAAATCTTTGAACGTGTTCATTTAAGAAAAATAATCATATTCATATACTGAAATAAATTTCTATTAAAAAAAAAAATTTTTCCCGAATAAAAAAAAAAAAAAAAAAAAAAAAAAAATATAAACTCACCCTTATTGTTTTTCAGCTCGAAATACACCGTTTCGATAACTTGGTGCGGTTCCACAACGTCCCACAAACCATCGCAACCCATAACAACAAAATGTTCCGATCCTGTGAGATCAATCACCCGAATTTCCGGTTCTGCACTTACATAAGGTTTTAGTTTTTTATCACCGATTGCACGAGATATAGCTAATCCTCCATTAACCCGATACATATTTTGAGATCTTAAAACACAGCCTCCGAGATTTTCAATTCTTTTACGTTCATCCGGCCTTTGGGGTTTATGCGGATCGACGAGGTACGCATAACTATCTTTTGCCACTAGCAAACCTTGCGAATCTCCCACCCAAGAGACGTATAATTTTTTTTCTACCGGTTGATAAAGTATTGCTAAAACGGCAGTTCCACTGTCATCGTTCTGCAAAACAAAAAAAAATCAAACAATTATTGAAAAATTATCAATAAATAAATTTTATGACTAAAATTATAAATATATATTATAATTATTTTTTTGTTTAGTAATGGATCCTAGACAACGATATTCCTCAATTTAAAATACCTTGTTAAAAAAAATTTTTTTTTCTTTTTTTTTAACAAGGTATAATTTTCAAAAAAGTCATAAATTTCAGGGAAAATAATATTTTAAAATTTTTTTTATATAAATAAAAACGATAAAACAATATAAAAAAAAATAAAAAGGGGATCATTACTTTTAAAAGAAATTTAAAAAATTATAGTATATAATTACAATAAAATGATTGCCTTAATTGTACCTTATTTTAAAAAACCACAATATTAAATAACCATAAAGCTAAATTTTTATCCTTAATTGGACTTTTTTGTTTTTTTTTTTTACTATAATATATTAAATTTTAAAATTTTTACATCAGTATTATTATTAAATAATTTTTAATAAAGGACATTTCGTTAATCATATTTTACCGTTTTTTTATTTTTTTTTTAAACAATTAATTTTTAAAAACCGTTTTAATAATATTTAATTTATGCTCTAATTATTATTAACGAAAACATCTCACCGATAACCTGTTAAATATGATACTAAATAAATGTATATCATTTATTTATTATTAATAAATAAATAAATAAATAAATTACTACTGAATATGTCAATTCTTTGAAATTTTTTGAAATTTTAATGAATACCTTTGAATTAAATCTAAGTTCAGTCTTTTCGTAAGCCTGAAAAAAGGCTTGAACCGGATCATCTGGATAAAATTCACTTTCTGCTAAAAACTGGTGTAAATGCGATACGGCAAAGCAAGCCGCATTAACTCCGGCATGACCGTCGAAAATGGCATAATACTCTGCCTCTGAATTACTTTGAATTCCGTGAAGTGTATTAAATCTAGGTAGACAAATATGACGATCTTCCATTCGTCGTCTGGTATGTTTCGTTGAATAAGTTGATATAAGAGTGTCTTGTACCGGACCCGGAAGACGGCTTAACGTTTCGTTGTCTATGTACCTTAGACATACCTCGGATATTTTGTCGTGCGTCTTTCTGTTGAGTTTTAAAGGCGTGTTTACTGAAATTAACAATAACAAAAAATTTGACTCTTTATATATATATATATATATATTTTTTACAATATTTTCTTACATTTTTTTTTTTCAAAAACTTCCTTTTACGAAGCATTTTAATTTTAAAAAATTCCAGCAATTCAACAAAAAAAAAAAAATTAATAATAATAATAATTTGTAAACATTTCATTACAATTTTGCTCATTTATCAGTCAAATATGAATTCAGCAGCAACCTGGGGGGAAAATGTTTTTTTTTTTTTTTTTTTCCTCGTAGCTTAACCTTATAATTTTATTTTAAAAAAAAAACTAGTAACTCTATAAAAATCTAAATAGTGTTAAATTTAATTCAAGTTAGTAAACTTACAAATATTTCAGTAAATACTAAAATATATAATTTTTTAAGCGTAATAATGCGTTTTTATATATAAACTAAAAAAATAACAAATTTAAATTATTAGCATGGAAAAGACAACAAGTATTTATTTATTTATTTTTTTTTTATATTGATTATAGAGGTCTGATAAAATTAATAATAAGATTAATTTTTGACATTTTTAAAGTAAAAAAAAAAAAAATTTCTAACGGTACCACGAATTTTTTTTTTTTTTTTTTTAAATCACAATAATAATGTAATTATATTGAATTAAAATAATAAATGGTTAATCAAATTTAATTTTTTACGTACGTAAAGATACGTTTAGTTCGTAAACTTTTATTTTTACACAAAAAAAAAATTAAAATTAAAAAAATTTATGCAATTGTTATAATGATATCATTTAATTCTTGTAGGTGGAAGACATTGAACTTATACAGGCCAATCATTTACATAGGGACATTTTATTTCCTTTTAAGAAGAGTGATAAATCTCTAAATAACAAAACATTAGTTTTGAATCTAAATTATTATCATTATGTCAAAAATTAAAAAAAAAAAAAAAAAACATATTTAATTTTTAATTTCGGCTTATTTTTATTTTTTTTTAGTTTACGACATAGTTTAAGCATAGATTTATTTTAAAAAATTACTTATAACTATTTTAATATTACATCGATGACAAATTTTTTTATTATAATCAATGAATTATTATTATTATTAAGTATTACTCATCGAGGATTGCTATTGTTAAACAAAGTGAACGATTTGCAATAAAATTTTGGGCTGTAATTTCAAACGTTCATTATTGAAATAAAAGTAATGTTAGAATAATGTCGACTCGTAATGTTTAATTAGTACAATTTTTAAATTAATTAATATAATATATATAAAATTTTGAAAAGAGGAAAAAAAAATTACCTATGCACTTTACCTCATGATAAGTAACAATGCAAACAAATGCAAAATAAATACCAATTAATATTAGTACATATATATATATAATAAATGGTTTGAAATTTGTGAAAGATAATTTTCATTAGTACAAAAATTAATTTACTTTGATAATTATTGTTATAGCATAATTAAAACCGCTTTAACAAAAGATATTTTTCAAGTAATTAAATGATTTATTAGCTTACCTTCTTCTGGTTCTTTTTTGGCTTCACATAATAATTCTTCAACCACAATTTTTGTTAATGGTACTATTAAGGATTTAGGACATCGTCTGAAAGAATATTAATGTTTAAATATGAATATTTTTATGATGAAATTTCCTTAAACCGTTTAACAAGTTGTAAATATTCAAGATAATGAATTTTTTAATAAGTAGTTTTACAATAATGTTAAAATTCTATCCTTTTTATACCAGTTACATTATTGAAACTTAGAAATGATTATTGGAAAAATAAATTAGATAAAGCATAATTGATTATTTAGTAAATTAATGTTAAATTTAAAATAGTTATTAATTTAAAAATTAATTCTGACATACAAAATTTTTTCGTGACAATTAACATGTATTACTGTTAAATTTCAAAGTTTTTGTCATTTGTAAATGAACAACGTAATGTATATAAAATATTTTAGGGAATAAAACAAAAAAACAAGTACCTTTCCGTCAAAAAGTTTATACATGATTGCATTGTTTCTCCTTTAAGTTCATCAAATGATAGATTATATATGTTAAGTCTTATTGGTCTGTGATCTTCTTTTTCTGAAGATTGGGCAAAATCTTCAAAAAACTGCCGGTAAACACAAATATAATCACTATCAGCCATTTTAAAAAACTTTAAATAATCTTTAAAAATAACAAACTACTAAGTTTTTCAAATGACAATAAAACTTAGCTTCCCGCTCATGTAGGTTTAGAAAGTAATTAACACAACAGTGCCAAGGTTAAGAAACTCCTTTTTCACGAATAATGTTGGTCTCGTGACAGGAAAATCATGTTAGCATCCTAATTAAAATTATATTCATATTTTATATTCAAATATTAATAAAATACATTGAAAGAAATAAAATAAATTTTTTTTTTATTTTACCAAAATTTTTTTCAAATTATAAATTTGATTTAATAATTTTATGAATTTAAAATAGCTCACATTACACTTTTTTTTTTTAAATTGAGCATATCCGGTAGAGTTTTAGTCGCCATTTTAGCGACGATTGCGAATATTGCGGAGTTAGATTAAATTTTCGTCGTTTCCGACGACAGGGAGCTATATCTCCCTTAAACTTGTCTTTTTATTATTTTAATTTATTTTAAATTTACAATTTATTAAATTATCGGTTGTCATTTTGACGTTTTTTTTTATTGCCAGTTGTCGAGAACCATGGATTTTTAAAATGAAGGGTCTGAAGGTTTTCATTGCGTCTCCATGCGGAGAATCTGCCTCATTCAAACCTGCTGTAGATGTTAGACGATTATTCTCAAATGGAAAAAAAACCAAGTGGCCGTTCAGTTTTACCTGCATCCAAAGCGGGAGGAACGGAAAGTAAAAAAAATTCAGGTCCGAATTTAGGCCTACTTCTTTTGTTCACATCTTGCCCAATTTTGTTTGCATATTTTGTATTTTTTTTCAATATTTTAGATGCCATCTCCAAACCATTTGGTAAATATAACAGACGTCGTGAGCCAATTGTTTACAATAATCCTAAAAATGAGCCACCTAGAAAATGCAATTCATCCAAAGGGGGAAAATATGCCGATAAAAGACCTAAACCTCGCAACCAGTTTCTTAACTGTGGAAAGGAGGATACCAAGGTGCTTAAATTTTTATTCTTACCATAACTTAAAGATGTTATTCAAGCATTATTGAACGTTATAATCTTCCATATTTAAATAAAAATCTTAAATATTAAAATAAATACTAAATTTACTAGGTAGTAAATGAAAAAACAGCAGAATATGGGTCTGTTTTTGTTCCTGGTAGTAAGAAGCAGAATTTAAATCATCTGCTTAATTTTCAATTCGCGCCCAGAGTAATTAGCAGAAGCTCTACAAACTGGAGTCAGTTTACTTCACCAAACTGGTTTGCCACTCAAAAGCACAAATACAATAAAGAACACTTTTTGCAAGCCAAGTAAGATATAAAAATTAATTACTAAAAGTAATTTAATTTTGTTATATTAATATTTTATTAATATAAATTTTCATCTTAGCTGTCAATTTGTTGTTAAAGAAGATGCTGATTACACTCCTCATCTTGTAGATCCTGATTTACTTGTCGAGTGGAATCAAATTGAACAAATTGTAAGTTTAAATAATTCATACATTAAAGTTAATTCATTAAATTATTGTTTATTGTATTATTGGATGAATATTATTTTTCTAAATTTTTATTTCAGAGACTTCAGTGTAGTGCACTTGTTTCATGTCCAATTTGTTTAGATACTCCAACAGCTGCTAAAATCACTAGATGTGGACATGTTTATTGTTGGTCTTGTATTTTACATTATTTGGCTCTCTCTGATAAAACTTGGAGAAAATGTCCCATTTGTTATGAAGCCATTCATAAAAATGATTTAAAAAGGTATAAAAAAATTCTAATAATAATTTTTTAATATTAAAAATTATTACTTTAAAAGACTAATCGATATTTTGATAAAAATAAAAAAGCGAAAAAAATTAATAATTTCATTGGGGTTTATTTTAATTTATAGTGTTGTTACATTGGCATATCCAGTTTACAATCTTGGTGAAGAAATTACTTTTAAACTAATGAAGAGAGATCGAGGATCACTTTTGCCCATACCTGTTGAAGAATGTAATCGAAAACCAATTACAGGGCTTTTGTCATTGACAGAAACTGAAATTGATATCACATATTCGAAACTTTTGCTTGCTAAACCTGAAGATGTTCTTTCTATAATTAAAATGGAAAAATTAGAGCTAGAGTCTCAGTTGGCAGATAATGAAGGATGCCCTGAAGTATGTTTTATTGAACAAGCCATGGAGTTATTGAAGGAAAGAGAAGCATTTGTTAAAAATGCCCTTAAAGAACCTGTTAATGAAGAAATACAAAAAAAACATATCATAAATGATTTAGTCAATGACTTTAACTCTTCAATTTTACTTCACGATGATGAAGATCATGTTAGAAAGGTTCGCTATGAAAGCGTATGCAGTGATGGAGGAACAGCTAGCGAAGAAGATTTTCCCAATGTTGCACCTGAAGATTTAGAAATATCACATAATACTGCAACAAAGCCATTTTATTTTTATCAAGGTAAATATTTTAAATGATAAGTTTTTCTTCTTTTTTTTTTTTTTTTTACATTCATACAATTTACAATCTGATTTTAGCTTCTGATGGTCAACATGTTTACTTGCATGCATTAAATGTAAAAATGCTAGAAATGCAATATGGATCTCTTGAAAATTGCCCATATCGTATAAGTGGCAAAATTTTGGAAAAGGAGGGAGGTTCCATGACGGAAGGACTAAGAAAACGACTTCGTTATCTTCAATATTTGCCGCTGACTTGTCAATTTGAAGTAGCAGAGATTAATATAGCACCCTATGTCTCGGATGAAGTTTTGTCCAGTTTTAAAGGACAGATTGAAGCGAGAATAAAAAGAAGAAACAGAAGAGCTCGTGAAGAAAAAAAAAGAGAACAAAAAATAAATGAAGAAGTAAATATGATATGGGGTAAAAAGCCGACACCAAAATTAAGGATAGAATCACATCGTCAATTTCCACTTTGTGGTAGTGGCTCCGATGAAGTTTTGTAAGTTTTAATTTTAATTTTTTTTTTTTTTTTTTTTTTTTTTTTGTACTCATATTTTGTGTACTGTTGTGTATGTTAAATTTAAATATTATTTTCAAAGGTCATATTTTCCACCATCTCCGACTGAGTCTAACATTGTCAGTCGCAGTCAATCTTTAAATAGTTTATCTTCCTCTGTTTCTACAACTTTAGACAACGTTTTTGAGCCAACAACTTCTAATATGATTGGAATGTCTTCATCCCTTGAACACACTGGACCATCCTTTGCTCAAGTATTTAGTTTTAAAAATAGAAAGAAAAAAAAAATTATTTTAAAATTTCTAAGAATAAATTTCAAGAGAATTTTTCTAAATTTAGATGCTTAAACAAGGATCGAGTCGTAGTTTCACACGTGATGTTTTGCCACCGGTTAAAAAGGACGAAAGCTATCATTCAAAATTGGATACGGGAGACAGTGAAAGTGAATTGGAGGGTTATGTGCCAGCTCCGAATTTCAATCAAAGTTTTAGTGACGCCATTGCCGTGGCTTTAGAAAAAGCTTCTTATAAACAGGATGAATTAGGTAAAAAAAAAATTTTATCTTTCCTGATAATTTAGATTGATATTGTAAAATTAATTTTTATTTTAATTTCTTTTTTAAAGTTTTATAACTGTTGGCAATGACCCCTTAATAAAAAGAAAATTTCATAATTACTTTTCTGTTTTAGATGACGCATCTAATAAGAAGAAAAAGAAAAAAAAGCCAAAAGTGTTATTTGCCACCGGAATGGCATGTTCAGCAAAGTAAATTGAGTTTAAAGAGCTTTGTTGGTAGTGCTAATTCTAACTAGTTTGTACTACTGATTTATAAAATGACAATTGAAAAAAAAATATGCGATTATTATTATTAACCTTTTGTTTTTTTTTTTTTTTTTTTTTTTTTTGAGGAGTTATTTTCTTATTTGTAACGTAAATTAAGTAAAAATTTAAAAAATATATATATAATATATATATAAAAAAAAAATAATAATAAAACAGGTGTCAATACCCTAGAATGAATATAAAAAAAAAAAAAAAAAAAAATTACTACATATATAATATGGGCTTTAAATGATTTGTCAAAAAAAAAAAAAGGCTTTTTTAAAATCTAAATAGGTCATAGATTTAAAATTTTATATAAAAAAAAAAAAAATGTTAATATAAAATGTTATGTAATGAGTTAAAAAAACTATTAATGTAATATAATTCAATTAAAAAAGCAATCCGAAGTCTAATTTTTATTTAAGAGAATTTTTTTAAAAACATTTTATTCAGATACAAATTTTTAAATTTTTTTATAAAATGATTGATAAATAAATTTTACTAATTTTTTCCCCTAAAATTTTAGTATTGAAGTACCGAGGTATAAAAAGAAAACGTAGAAAATGGAAATTTTTAAAATTATCTGTATTTTAACGATAAGCATAAATTGTTTTTTTTTTTTTCTCCAGTATAAACGACTGCAATTCAATGTCGTCACTGTCAAAATTTTATTTAATTACTGAATAAAAAAATTTGATGACAAGTAATATTTTTTATTATATAATTTAAATGATTAGGGGCCCTGATAATAAATTCAGTTGGAAATTTTTATTGATTAAGAAGGCATTGTGGGTCTTCTGCTGCCAAATCATCAACAATGGTTGCTTGTTAGATTATATTTCAAAAAATTAATACTTACACGGTTTTATGAATGTACAACACTACGCTATCATCATATTTTTTTCTCTACAAATTAAAATTTTTTTGTAAAACAAAGTTTATGTTGAACAATTATGTACTTTTTAAAATATTTAATTAGCATACTTAATATGCCTCCTTCTAAAAGTGGTTGTAATAAAGTTTTAGTTTATTCATTATTATTATTATTTATTTATTGTGAACAAGCTTCTAGCATTGGACAAGTTATGTATGCTATCAATGCTGGAGGGGATGCACACACCGACAGTTTTGGCATAAGATACGAAAGAGATCCTTTGATGGGTAAAATTGGAACTGCTTCCGATTTCGGCAAGCAATTGGTTATAGGTAGAGTGTCTCAAAATGATCAAATATTGTATCAAACGGAAAGATACCATCATAGTACGTTTGGATATGACATTCCGATAGTAGAAGATGGTGATTATGTACTTGTTTTAAAATTTAGTGAAGTTTATTTTAATGCTCCTAATATGAAAGTGTTTGACGTTGTTTTAAACGGGGATCACACCATTGTCGCAGACTTAGATATTTATGATAACGTGGGCAGAGGTGTGGCCCATGATGAGTATATTCCTTTTAGTGTGAATAGAGGTAGATTATTGTGCAGTGAAGAAGAATCAGACATAAGGGGTGGGAAAATCAGAGTGGAATTTATTAAAGGCTATAGAGATAACCCTAAAATAAATGCTATTTATGTTATGAAAGGAAATGTTGATGGTAAGTTTTTATCAATGGCAGTTATTAAAAATGCATAAGTGCACATTATAACACTTAAAATTTTGTTGTTTTTTTTTTTTTATTGCCATCACACATAAATTAATTTTTGATTGATTGTAGATGTACCAAAATTACCACCTATACCCAGTGAGCCTGATGTAGATGATTTTAAAGATGAAGAAGAAGAAAAAAAACAATCAAAAAGTCGAAGACCGAGTGGACCAAAAACACCAGATCCCTATCAAGGAGACGATCCCACTGCAATGCTTCCAGTCTTTGTTGTTATAGGAGCATTTATTCCTATATTGTTTTGCTTATGTAAACTTTGAATTAATTTTACATAAACAGCAATTTTGAAATAAAATAACCAATACCATTAGTATAAAATCATTTTGTATGGAAACAATTGTTTTAAAACTTTAAAATTTATATTTTATTGTTTAAGACTGAAATATTTTTAACAAAAGCAATGCAAATGCAACTTTGCAATTTTTGCAAAAAAAAAAAAAAAAGTGATTTGTCAATAAGTATCATGATCTTCTTAATGTTGTGAAAAAAATAACTTTGAACAATTTATTCAATATTTATTATTAAAATCTTATTTATGATGAAAAAAAAAAATTCATTCATTCTTTTTTTTTTTTTTTTTTTTACTTATGAATGAATGAATGAATTCTTATCGTGTGAAGTATTTTATTATTAAAAATTAATAAAATTTTACAACTTATTGTTAAAATTTGTAAAAAAAGTATTAGCAATCAAAGCAATTAATAATATTCAATCAATATATTTCAATAAAATAATAATCATTTAATAGTATTAAAAACTATTTACTTTTCTTATATATAAATATATATATAACAAATTTAGGTAAAATTATCAATGTAGGAATTTCTGTGCAATGTTTTAATCCTGTTTTATTTTAAATGTGTATTTTAAAATGATGAAATATTTACTTAAAATTGTTTAAATTATTATTAAATTAATTCAGTTGTTTTTGTTCGATTATATATTTTAATTAAATTATGTAAAAGTTTATTTGTAATTAATAAAAAATAAACTTTAAATTTTATCAATTTGAATTATAATTTTTTTTAAAATTATTTTTACTGTTTTAGTATTTATAAAAAAAATAAAATAAAAATTCAGAAGAAGAAATTATTTTTAAAAATTAATTATTCAGTTATGAATTTATTATCGAATCATAATTTATGATTTTGAATTATATTTAATTCACAATAAACTAAATCTATCATACCTAAACTAACACATCTCATAAATAACTTAATAGCAGTCATAAGCTATTTTTGCTTACTTATTGTTTAAAACTTATAAGTTTATTATTTTCCATATCCTTGTCCAAATTCTTTTGACCACTCTGGTAATTTTTGGTTCCAGTTTTTAGGAGGTTCCGTTCTAGTTTTCCAAACATCATTCGCTGCATGTTTGGCTAATCTTTCTTTTTTTAAATTTAATTCAGAAGTGATTATTCTGGCACAAGCATCAATGTCTCCCTCCTGGCATTTGTCACAGTCAGTCCATTTTGATTTATATATATCACAATCTTTTTCTACTCCTAAGAAATATTGTTGAAATCTACCTCTGATTGATTTACATTCCTTATATTCAATTTCATAATCATAACAATCCCTTATCTATTTTCAAAAAAAATTTGTTAAAACTTTGAGGTTAATTTCACCTTTTATAGGTAACCAGTTAAGGTTAATTTCATATTAAGGGTCTTATTGATCAAAATTAAAATTAAAAAAATACTTACCATTTCCAAATTACCTTCCACAACATCTTTTGGCGCGATTTCTGTTTTTTTATCTTTGTCTTCTATCATTATTTTTTGATAATTTTATCGTGTTTTATTTTATAAGTAACGAAGTTAAAAATTATTTAGAATATTTCCAATATATTAATCACTGATTTACTGAATATTTTTTTTCAAACGGTTTTCTAAAAACAAATTCTTATTAATGAAATTATTACCAGATTTTAGTTTGCTTAGTGTAATAAAAAAATATTTATTTTTCAAAAAGTTTACATTAAAAAAATTTAAATAAACATAAGTCCATGAACATTAAAATTTGTTTAAAAAGTTTACAATTCACGTAATGACGTTTAACGTTTTTAATTTAAATTTAAAAAAAAAAATTTTTACAAATTTTTAATTTTTGATATATAAATTGATAATTTATCAACATCTAATGCAAAATAAGGATAAATCAAATAATATCTCGGACAAAAATAATTAATTATTAAAATTTTTACATATATAATCAATAAATTAATCAGAACTAAAATGAATTTTTGTATGCTGTTTCAAATCAGGCATATGTTTGGGCTCATAATCACATTTATGACATTTTAACTTTTTGTCCAAAAAATTTTTATATTCTGATGTAGTTTTAAATGACAATTTTCCACTATTTTCAAGTTCTCTGATTACCATATCACTGGGTAAAAAAAATTCTGTTGTAAAACTATTCCAATGTTTTTTAGTTTTCATACAAGGCGAATCAAAATCTGTACTAATAACATGCAAATGTAATCTTATCATACTTGGAATTGAATGATAACCGATTAGAAAATTAACATTTTCATGTTTGTTACACAATTTTTCAGCTACTTCATGCATATGTTTTAATAAATCTAAATGTTTTACTTCTACACTTTTTATAGAAGGTAAATTTTTTTTCGGACAAACCAGATAATGAAAACTAGCTTTCGGATACAAATCATACAATGCAACTGTTGATTTATCTTCAAATACAATTAATTCAGGATCCTTCATGGCTTGTAATAAACCTTCACTCCAATGAGATTTTCCTTTCTTGGACTTGAGTTCATTTCTTATTTTTTTCAATTTTGTTTCCATTATTGTACAATAAAAAATTATAAAAGGGGAAAAAAACGGTTTTGTTTTTTTAATTAAAAAAAAAACTTGATGCATTCATATATTTCAAATTGTTTGAAGTTCAATAGTGCTTTAGATTACAAAGCAAAACAAAACCTCACAAAAGCAAAGTTTAGCCTGTAATTTTACGACATTAATTTAATCAGCATAAAAAAATAAGTGTTAATGAAAAAAAAAAAAAAAAAAAAAATTACTATTATAATTGTTCTTTTAAACAAAAGTACTAAAAAAAATAAAAAAAATAAATCTAGATAATTGGTCCAAGACCCGTGATTTCTCGTGGTACAACTTTAACCAACTCTGTATGTATTGACGCTCAATTTAATAAGAGCAGCAGACTTGGCAACATAAAAATTATGAATGTCCAAGCCGGCGTGACTTTTGTTGTCAGTTTAAAGTTTGATTTACAATTATTGAGTTTTTATTGAGTGACAGTTACATTAAATCATTTAAAACTAAGATTTATTATATATTAAATAAAATATTGTTAATATTGTATTATTTATTTGTGCGAAACGCGACATCACCTTGATTTAAAGATTTTAGTTAAAAAAAATTTTATTACAATTATACTAGTATTTACTAATAAAGTTTAGTTGTTAGCCCAATAAAAAAAGTCAATTTTATAAAAATGCCTACCGATGTGCCTTCAGCATCTAATTTTATTAAAAATGATTTACCGCCTGGACCTCTAACCTGTTATAGAAAGCAATCAACTTTCTGTTGGAGAAAAATGCAGGTGTTTTTAGAATCTGAAGATATTATTAATTATAAGGTTTGTTTTTCATTCATTTTATTATTATCAATTTTAATAATTTCAAAATACTCTCATAGATATTTTTAAATAATTAAAATGTAAATGTTTTTGATATTAGTATAAAATTTGGAAAACATTAGAAGGAGACCCTTTATTTCAACAAAGTCCTATTTCTTTACCTCATGAAGAATTCAGAAAATTAACTACATTAAGAGCCAATAGAATTAGGGATTATGATTTTTTAAACAGAGATGTGATTATGGAAAATCCAATTAGGGTAAGTCGAACCTTTTTTTTCTTTACTTTTTTTTTTTCAAAATACGAATAAGAATTCAATAGCTTTAAAAATTATATGCGAACATGACAAATAAATTTTTATTTTGAATTTGAAAAGGCTAGGACTGTAATAAAAAAAAAAAAAAAAAAAAAAAAACTTAATTACAAAATAAAAATAAATAATTAATTAAAGTTTTAATTTAAACAATTCAAAACAAATATTTGATAAGTTTAATCAATTATTTGTCTATAAATATTTACACAATTGTACTTACAAACTTTTATTTAATTTTAGTTTATGATCTCCATTGGAGCTTTGACAATGTATGATGCTAGTGCCTTAATAAAATATATCATTCCAGCCCATTTTTTTAACAACAGCATTCAAGGATTAGGTTCTAAAATACATAGTGACGTTATTAAAAAAATTGAAAACGAAGAAATAATTGGATGTTTTGCTTTAACCGAGGTTTCACATGGTACTAATGTGAAAAAAATGAGAACAACAGCTACATTCGATAAAGAAACTCAAGAATTTATTTTAAATACTCCAGATTTTGAAGCTGCAAAATGTTGGGCTGGAAGTTTGGGTACTAAAAAATTTTCGAATATTTGACTCATTTTTCTTGTGATTGTGAAATTTTAATTTTTGAACATTGTTCAGGATCCTCTGCTACGCATGCCACAGTTTATGCTCAGTTGTTCACACCTGATGGTGTTTGTCATGGATTACACGGGTTTTACACTCCTCTTAGAGATCCAAACACGATGCTGGCATATCCTGGTGTTGTTCTCGGAGACATGGGTGAAAAATTAGGTTTAAATGGTGTTGACAATGGTTTTGCTATTTTTAACAATTATAGGATACCTAAAGATAGTTTACTAGATAAAAATGGAAAGGTATCCTCAAGCGGAAAATATATTTCTTGTATCAAAGATCCTAGAAAACGATTTGGTAAGGACTTGATTTTTACAATGCTTTTATTTTTAAGGTTTTCTATTATAATTAATCATATATTTGGTAAAATATATATATAATAATATACATTACTAAAATATATTATAGAGAGAAAATAGAGAGTGTTTAGTATTAAAAACTCTGCAAAAATTAAATTTAATAATTTTTCAACAGGAGCATCATTGGGTTCATTAGTGGCTGGAAGAATGGCAATAGTTAATATTTGCACTGGAAATTTGGTCAAAGCCATTTCCATAGCCATAAGATATTCTTCAGTCAGAAAACAATTTGGTCCTGATGAAGATGAGCTTCCAGTTATTGAATATCAGCTTCAGGTTTAGCAAAAATAAATTTTTTTTTTTTTAAACAGTTATTTTTTTTCTTTTGTATTTAATTTTTAATGAAAACAAAAAAATATATTTTCCAGCAATGGAGGTTATTTCCTTACTTAGCGGATGCTTATGCATTTATGGTATTAGCAGTTGCAACTTCTCAAGCTTTCGTGGATTTCAATATCCTTGTTGCTTTTAAAAACATGGAAGAATTGGTAATTTTTTTCAAATATTGTTTAAAAAAATTTTACAATTATCAATAATTCTGTTTTTTCTCTCTCTCTCTCTCTCTCTCCCTCCATAGAACGTTTTCGGTGTAGAACTTCATGCTCTTATGTCATCTGCAAAGCCACTTGTCAGTTGGGCAGCACAACATGGAGTACAAGAAGCTAGAGAAGCTTGTGGAGGACACGGGTATTTAAAATGTACGCCATGAAAATTATTTTACAAAAAGTTTTTTGGGGGGAAAATAAAAAAAAAAGTAAAAGTAAATTTGTATGGTTTCAGGCTCCGGTTTTGGATCTTTGAGAAATGACAATGATGCAAATTGCACCTACGAAGGTGATAATAATGTTTTGATGCAACAAAGTAGTAATTGGTTGCTAAGCTTGTTTAAAAAATTAGACACTCCTTTTGAATCTCCATTGGGATCAGTGAAATTTCTATACAAGGAAAAATCTTTTCCTTCACCCACAACGGTCGATGAAATGTGCCAAATTCCAGGTTTTGTGCAATTTCTCGTTTAATTTTTTATTATTATTATAATTAAAAATATTACAAACAATAATTTTTTATTTTTAGTGATAATATCCATGTACGAATGGCTTTTGCTCAGGTTATTAAGCGAAACTCAAAGAATATACGAAGAAAATCTTAAAAATAATCAAAACGATTCGTTCACGGCTAAAAACAATTGTCAAGTTTTTTATGCTAGAACATTATCATTAGCTTACATCGAGGTAACATAAAAAAAAATAAATTTTTTCAAATGTATTAAATTAAATATATAATTTAATTTTTTTGTAAAATAAATTTTAGCATTACGTTTTGTTAATATGTTGGAATAAGATACAAGATGCCGGACAGGAATTTTTTAACGAAGTCAATATTTTTAAAAAATTGGTGTCGTTGTTCGGTTTGCATCATTTACAACGTCATTTATCTGATTTTTACGAGGGAGGTTTCACGAAAGGTCCACTCTTATCCCTTTTAATTAAAAAAGCAATTTTAAAATTATGCGAGGACATAAAACCGGATGCAGTTAGTTTAATTGACGCCATTGCTCCACCGGATTTCATATTGAATTCGGCCATCGGTAAATCTGACGGCGAGGTAAACGAATTTATTATTTTATTTTAAGGATTAATAATAATTTTTTTAAAATTAAATTACTTAAATTTATCCTTTTTTTTTTAACTCGTAGATTTATAAAAATCTTCAAGCGGCTTTTTTGCAAAATCCGGGAGTGACTCAAAGACCCGAATGGTGGAGAGAAATGACAAAAAAATTCAGATCAAGGCTTTAAGTTTTTAAGTTTTTTTTTTTTTTTTTTTTTTTCAAGTAAATTTTTTTAACTTTTGCATAAATTCGTACATTATCTTTTCCCCCCTTCCCCCTCCCCCCCTCCGTAAATATTTGATGATGATGATAATAATCCTTTTGAAAGAAAAATTATGTAAATTTTCCACATTATTGATTTTTACTGTACCTGATTTCTATTGTAAAATGTAGATGGACGTCAAAAATTACTTTTAAATTTTGAAAGAAAAGAGAAAAAAACATAATTTATCGTTAAAATAATTTTAAAAAATTATGTACGTGTTAAAAAAAAACGGTTATTTATTTTATTTGTTTAAAAAAAAATTTTTTTTAAATGGTGGAAGCCTTACTTACGAATTTTTCAACGATGTTTTAAATTTAATTTAATTTTAATTAAAATAAACTAATCAAATTAATTAAAATAAATAAATATATATATATAGATCATGAATGACGTTTGAAAATTAATGTTAATAATTGTTTATTTAAATTAAATAAAATAAATATTTGTGTCAAACAGTTACCTACTACTATCTTATTAAAAAGTATTTTATTTAATTTCAATAATAAATTGTAAATTTTTTTTTTTTTTTTTTTTTAATTGTGAATGCTTTTATTTTATTATAAGGGAATAATATTAATTTAAAGTTTAATTTAACAATAATAATAATAATAATAATCGATTATTAATCATTTTTGTTTGTTTGAAATGTAATTTATCATTTGATTTCTAAACTAACTATTATTAATTTTTCTTTTTTTTTTTTTTTGTTAATCGATAAATAAAAATTAAAATGAAAATTTTAAATGGATTTTAAATATAATGAAATATTTTAACAAATTTATTATATAAAATCTTTTTTTTTTTTTTTTTTTTAATTGTTAGTTGCTATATTTTATTTTATTATTATTATTTTTTTTTTGTCGCTTCGATGTTTTAAAAATAAATTTAAATTTAATTTTATAAATAATTATAATTATATATTTTTTTTTAATATTAAATACTTTTTTTTTCTTTTTCTCACTGCCAAAAAAAAAGTATTTTAGTCGTATAATGACTACCTCTTCTCAAGTCACCACGTGAATTATTAATAATTTATGTAATAAAAAATGTATTTATTATTAAAAAAAAAAAAAAAAAAATTGTATAAATTACTAATATATATTAACATAATGCTGTTGAAAAAAATTTTTTTTTTTTGTATTCTTTATTGAATTTCGTTTTTTTTTTTTTTTTTTTAAATTAAATAATAAATGAATTTATATATAAATCACAATTTTGAATTCATGTTATCTTGCCAATTTGTTATTTCTTGCCACCAACCCGGTCTACTAAATGTTTTTTCGCTTTGAAACATTTTATTTTCAATATTTTTATAAACGTTACCATCCGATTTACCCAAAACGGAATTTAATATAAAATCAGGGGGAGCTAATACGTCGACCAAAGATACAACTTCTACTTTAAGTTCTTTACACAGTTTTAAAATGCCATCTCTGACGAATTGTGCCGGATTTGGACCATTACAATAACCACCTGTATCAATCAAATTTGTCAAATATTATTTAAAAAACATTAAAATATTGACAAAAAATTTTTTTTAAAAAGTTAAAACTAACCTTGATAAAGTATGGACATGTGTTGATCTAAACTCCAAAGTCCGTATAGTGAACATAATTTTAATAAAACATCTTGCAATTTTTTATCTAAACTGGATAATGTTGCCTTTTCTAAAAATTTTACTAATACGTAACGCTAAAAAAAAAAATTAATTTGTAATTAAATACATATATTATTTTATAATTTAATAAAATAAATAAATAAATAAGTAAAGAAACCTCTGCAAATGCTATAGACATCGTTCTGGCAAAATAAACTTGACTCTCGTTGAATGCAGTAAATTGATCGAATTTTTTTAAATTTTCTTGCCATCGATCAAATGTAGTTTTCAACAACCAACAAACAAGCCAATCGTACGCTTGAATAATATCTGTAAAAAAATTTTTTTAAAAATAATACCTCTAATTTAAAAAAAAAAAACAACGTAATAGTAAAGTAAAAACTAACTTTCAGGTTTACTTGTTTCTTCTAAAGTTTTACAAGTGAATGACTTTAGTAAAAGTTCTGAAAAATTATTTAGAAAATCCGCAGAGTGTAGAGGAGTCGAAATTGTTTTTTTTTCTAATAAATTTTTATATAAATTCAACAGCCACTTGCTAGTTTGTTGTATCAGAACATTATTTTCACCTTCGTATGTACAATTGGCATCGTTTTCGTTTCTTAAATCACCCAATCTCGAAGCTTTTAAATATCCATGACCTCCGCAAGCTTCTCTGCATTCCTGTATTCCTCTTTGACTGATCCAACTAAACAATGGTTTTCCCGCTGACGATATGCTATGAATTTCAACACCTAATTCATCCTGAAAATTTATAATTTTTATTCCAAAAACTTATTTCGAAAATACAATGATGAAAAAGGTATATTTGTCACGAACCAAATTCTCTTCTCCTACAAATTTTTTAAATTGAAACCAACTCAATTCGTACGTAAAATAATCGGAAAAAATTTTAAATGCATACACGACAGCTACGTATGGTATCAATCTCCATTGTTGAAGTTGATATTCAAGAACGGGAATTTCTTCATCATTAATTCCAAATTGTTTTCTAACAGCTGAATACCTCACGGCAATTGTTACGGACATTGAAAAATATGCAACACAAATTGACATGATCATTACTCTTCCACCGGATAAAGCACCTAAACTAGCTCCTAAAAATTACAAAAAAAAAAAATTATAATTTAATAATAATAATAATAATTTAATAAATAAAAACGTTAAGAAAATTTATATGATTGATACTCACCAATTTGTTTTCTTCGGTCTTTAAATTTACTTATAAATTTTCCATCTGGAGTTATTTTCCCATTTTTATTTAATAAATTATCTTTTGGTATACGATATTTATTAAAAAATATAAATCTGAAATTTTTATAAAATAAATTTAAAAAATAATAAGTGTCTTGAAACTTAATTTTTTATTTAAATTTTCCAAAAAAAAAAAAAAAAAAATTTTAATAATGAATGTATTAAATTGAAAATTTTCTGTTAAAAATTGTAAGACTCTATTTTTTCAAACCAACCCATTATCGACTCCATTAAGTCCAATTTTTTCTCCCATATCTCCAACAGTTAATCCTGGATAAGGTAGTAGAGTTTTTGGATCACGTACGGGAACAACAAACCAATTATGACCGTGATCTTTTCCATCGGGAGTTAGTAATTTGGCATAAACTACAGCGTGGGTACTACATTTTCCTAAAATTTAAGCCGCATAATAATAAATAAATATTGTAATAATAAATTTTAAAATAATGTTCAAATATCTACCCAGATTGCCAACCCAACATTTGGCAGCTTCAAAATCCGGAGAATTAAGTACAAATTCTTGCGTTTCAGGATCGTAGACAGCTTCTGTTCTCATACCTTTTGTGTTGGTACCGTGAGAAATTTCGGTTAGGGCAAAGCACCCTGCTATCTAAAATATTTAATAAGGAATTAGTCATTATGTGTAACACGTAAAAACGTTTTTTATGAAAGGATCATACTTTTCCCGAGTCAACATCATCAGCGAAAAATGATTGTTTTTCCGACCCCAAACTTCGTATTGTATTACCAAAAAGTCCAAAAGTTAAAGAATATTTAATAGCTAATGATGCATCGTATTGAAACATTGCAGAATATATAATCATTGGCTAAAAATATAAATTATTTAAATTTTATTTATTCAATTAAAAAAATTTAATTAAAATCAATAAAATTAGTCTTAAATTTTACTTACAAGTCTTGGCTCTGAAGCTACTTTTTCCCAAGTGAGAAATTTTGCATTGAAAACTTGATACATTCTAAAAGATGTAAGCCTTCTTTGATCATCCAAGCTTAAAGTTTCTAAAGGTTGATGAAAAGCTGGATGCTTTTCAACAAAATTCCAAAATTGCAACTGTAAATTTGTTTTTTTTAAAATAAAATATTACTTTACTACATTAGTAGTTATTGAGAATAGGTTTAGTAAAAGTTAAACAAAATATTTTGAATAATTACTCATTTTTAAAATCAACTTCTCATGCGATAAATAATTTTAATAGTTGTTGAAAAAAAAACAAAGATTAGTTTTAGTTAAACTTAAACAATCAACAATCATATTTCATTTTCAAAAAAAAAAAATTATTAGTTTTTCAAACTTTTATGGAATTCTATTTAAAATTTCCGCGATGTAGTAAATCAAATGCCTTAAAATCAAAAAAATTATGTTGGTACCCTTTTCTTTTTTATTTTCGGGGCCTTTCAAACATTAAAAAGCGGATAAAATACATTTTTTTGAATGTTAATAAAAAAAAATTAACAGCATACAAATTAAAAATTAAATTTTCTTATTACAAAAAATTCTTATTGAAAAACTTTTACCTTATATTTCAAAAGTTCTTTTTCCTCTAAATAAATTTTTAATTTTTTCCAATCGAAGCTTGCTTGATTTCGATATTTAGTCAAAGGTCCGGAAGGTAAGTCGTTTATGATAAGTGGTTCATCCATTTTTTAATACTGAAACGAATATTTTAAGTTTATTTTTTTTTGATTATATATTTTTATACTTATTATATTTCATTCATGCAACATCTTAAATAAATTAAAACCGATTGATAGAATAAATTTTCGATATGATTTTTCATCAATTTTTTTTTTTATGTTCATCATAGCCACAGTTGAGTGAACTTTGAACGATCATTCAAAAGTCAAAAAAAGTTAACAATAACTAAAAAAAAATATTCGTTAATCCATATATAAAATGTAGTATTGTAACTCTAAAGTTTAAATAGCAACTTTTAGTTTTATTACATAATAATTTAAATTAAAAACCGTTCTTTTAAAACATTCATAGATAACTGTAATAGGTCATAACTTGTTAAATTGAATTTATCTTTAAGAGATTCAATTAACAAAGACAGCTATGTAAAATATAACGAAATAATATTTCAAAAACATTTATTAAAATCCTACAATTAATTAATTTTAGTCACAAAAATAAGAATTAAAATAAAAAAAAAAAAAAATAAATGTTAACTCACCTTAATAATTATCATTCATACAACGTAAGATCCTAATTTGTAAATTCAAATGGAGGGGGGAATTAATAAAAAGTGACATCTATCCGAGAAAATTTGTACTTGATAATTTTCAACTGAGTTTTCAAATGTGATAAAACTTTGTGAAAAATAAAATGAAATTACAAATAAATTCAACAAGTTTAAAACAGATTAAATCTATTTTAAACATTATTATGGTAAGTTCGCTTAGAATTAATAATTAAAAACTCTTTTTTGCCAATTAAATTTCCTTTAAAATAACATTTGCATGAAACATGCAAATGTCAAAGTAAAATTCAATTTAACTAACTTTTAACTAAACAAAATTTTAAGACTAATTTCATTTGTACTTTTAAAATGGCATGAAAATTATATTTTTTAAAATGTATTTAAATCCTTGGTAGTTTCATTTTTATATCGTTATTAGTATTTATTGGCAAAGCTCGAGGAAAAGGGTGAGTAAAAAAATATTTCATTAGAATATTGCAACTTGTATGTTTTAATCCATTAAAAATTACAAACAAGGAAAATATTTTCAAAAATAAGAATTATTGCAATGATTTAAAAAAAAAAAAAGAAATTTATTTGAATAAATGAAGCTATTTCAAGAAAAAGGTTTAACATTTTCCATTGAGTAAAAAATTTAATGTCATAAATAATTATTTCCATATAGTTTATTCAAAATTTTTTTTCGGTTTACACTTGAAATATCATTAAATTTTATTATTTATGATTATGTTTATAAATGAATAATTAATTATTATTATTAATTTATGAAAATTTATTCAACATGTTGGTCCTCAACAATGCCATCAATCATACGATTTAAAAATACATTTTTTGATAATTTAATTAATTTACAATTTTACATAATGTTTCACTTTTATTAACATTCTTCATTATTTTCCAGTATAAATTCAATTCTAGATTACCACGAAGATTATTTACTTCATCCCGATTTGGAACCTCTTGTAACATCGATAATTTTAAAAACTGGAAATTTCAAATGTTTGGCCATCATATGCGATGAATTATACCAAGATGTATTTGGAAGTTATTTTTTTCATAAAATTACCCAAGCGACTTTTTTTAAAATACTCATCAATGATACAGAAGATCTGATATCGCCAAATTACAACACACTATCCACAATAAAAAAAGTTAGAAGAAATGGTTGCCCGATTTACATTATATTTTTAGCAAATGGAAAACAAGTGAAACGTTTTTTGCACTTTGGTGATAAGTAATTATAAATTTTTTTCAACTTGATGCATTATTTATTATTAAAAAAAAAAAAATGTCTCTTCTTTCTCGAATCCAAGATAAACAATAGTAAATCCTTTATTTAATATGTGATGTAATATCGAAATAGTATCCTTAATAGATTTCTTCTTGCAAAATCGTCTAATCTTTAGAAATATTTTTTAGGTACCGAGATCTAGACGTCAGAGCCAATTTCATCCTTTTATACGACGATCGACTTTTTGAACCTGATCTTTTTTACCTGTGGAAAAAAATGATAAATGTAGTTTTTATAAGAAAGTTTTCAGGTGGAGAGAGGAGTTCGAGTAACTGGTAATTGAATGTGAACATTCTAATATAAACACGGAGAAACTCTGAATTTTTTTTCCCGTTATTTAAGGTACGAATTATCAACGGTACCATTTCCAGCACCCATCAAAGAAGTTTTAATTCCGAGACGATTAGATATATGGCGAAGAGGATATTTTTATTCCAACGTTGAACTCTTTCGAGAAAAAACCTCAAATTTAAGAAGTCAAATTTTTAGAGTTATTACATTTCAACATGTTCCGTCTGCTTTTAAAATGCCTGGTCCGGTTATGTCGGATGATGTAACGTTAGAAGGAACCCTACCCATCGGGTACACTGGTTTAGAAATAGAAGTAATATAAATTAACACATAAATTTTTTTTTTTTTTTTTTTTTTTAGATTTTATAAGTTTGTTAGTTTTTTTGTTTTTTTTTTTTTTTTTTTCATTCTATAGGTTTTAAACACGTTATCGATAATAATGAATTTTGTAGCAGAAGTATATGACGTACCATCAAGTGAAAAATGGGGATGGAAGCAAGTGAATGGATCTTATTCAGGGCTTTTAGGTGAAATCGTAAGTGGGAGAGCTGACATAGCTTTGGGAAATCTTTACTATACGCCCTATCACTTGGGTCTCATGGATTTAACCATACCTTACAATACTCAATGTTTAACATTTTTAACACCGGAATTACTGACGGACAATTCTTGGGAAACGCTTCTATTACCTTTCAGGTACAATATTTGACGGTTCGCAGTATGTTACGCGTTAGTAATTTTATCATTTTTGTTTTAACAGAGGCTATTTATGGCTTGGAGTATTTTTGTCCATAATAACTGCTGGTATTGCTTTCGTCTCTCTAGCGAAATTTCATCGTAGATTTGGTTATGATATCACGCAAAGTATTATTTATTCGAAAGGAAAGCATAAAAGTCGTCCGAAAATACTGTATAAAAAAAGAAAAAAAAATTTAATGGGTCTCTATCAATTTGAAAATCCCATAAACAGTTATTTGTACACGTACAGCATGATATTACAAGTCTCACTACCGAAACTACCACAAGGTTGGGCTTTACGAATATTTACCGGATGGTGGTGGATTTATTGCATACTCCTTGCCGTAGCGTACAGGGCAAGTATGACATCCATATTAGCAAATCCAAGTCCAAGGTAATAATATAAACGATGCGATATTTTATACCGTTTTTAACATGGTTCTTTAAAAAATAATGATTATATACAGAGTAACGATAGATACTTTAGAACAACTGGCAGAAAGTCAAATATCTGTCGGAGGATGGGGAGAAGAAATAAAACTTTTTTTTGAAACTTCATTGGATGCTGCCGGACAAACGATCAGTCGTAAATTCGAAATCGAAAATGATATTGATAAGGCTGTCGAAAGGGTAGCAGACGGAAATTTTGCTTATTATGAAAATATTTTTTTTCTAAGACACGCGAGCGTACATAAAAAAATGCTCATATTAGGTAATAAAAAATTTTATTTTTTTTTGAAAGTTATTTTTTAAATGTAAATGATGATTTTTGCTCTATTTTGCTTTAGAAGAAGAAGCCATAACTAAAAAACCTAAAGAAGAAAATGAAAAAAAAAATGAATTTCAAAAAAGTTTACACATAATGAAAGATTGCGTCATAAATATGCCCATATCTTTAGGATTGCAAAAAAATTCTCCTTTGAAACCGAGAATTGATAAATTCTTACAAATGATCATAGAAGCAGGTTTGGTTAAAAAATGGTTGAATGATGCCATGTCTCAAGTACTAAGGGCGGATGCAGGCAGTGAAGAGGAACCAATAAAAGCTTTTATGAATTTAAAGAAATTGTATGGTGCCTTAGTTACTTTAGGTATCGGGTACGGTTTGAGCATATTAATACTAATAATTGAAAAAATTATTTGGCATTTCACGGTCGTTAAGAGTCCATTTTACGATAAATACTCAAACTCGGTAATAAAAATCGTAAAAACTTGAGTAGTATTAATAAAATTTTAATAAGTTACCTAAATGAAGTATTTTCACATTTTTTGAGATTTTCGTCTACTCTTCTTTTGTAATAGCTAATTTTTTTAAATGTTGTAGAACATCCTCGGCAGCCTAAAATAATTTTTTTCTTATTTATAAATTTAAATAATAAATTTTTTTTAGTTTTGTATTAATAAATTTATCATATAAATGTATTTCTTACCATATGAACGGAAGCGGATGAATCATGTAATAGAGAATTTAAATTTTGTTCAAGTTTCGAGCTAACATTACTGAGCAATACATTTTGTTTGGATGAGGCAAGCTGTTTAATTAATTCACATGTTCGAAATTTAACAACAGGGCTTGGATGTACCAACAAGTTACTGACTTCCAATATACTCTCTCCTGAAATTGATTAAATAATGTCATATAATAGTCCATTTGTAACGAAATAATCCATGATTCTTAAAAAAATAAAGAAATTACCTGAAGCTGAAAGTCCTAAAACTATTTGTTCGACTAAGTCAGCATTTTCAGGTGATTGCATAAGTACAAGGTTCAATATTGCCAAAAAATCAGTCACTACTCTTAGTTTTCTACGACCAAGCATTAAAAATTGTTGAACTAATGGAATGGCGTTTAATATGGCTACAGCATCACAAAACTGTAGCAAAAAGTCTTCATTACTGTGAACCTATAAAAAGTATGAAATATTTAAAAGTATTTATATAATATTAAAAATTATAATGTCTCCATTATTAACAGAAAAAAAATTAAAATTGCAGGTTAACTAATAGCATTGATACATAAATCAAAGTAGAAATAATAATAACGAATTTAAGATTATAACTTACTAAATAACATATCAAAAGGCAAATTGCTTCTAAAGCTTGAAGATCATCAGCACTTAATTCTGAAACAGATGAAAATCGAATTTCTTTGTCGGTAGACATGTTAGGAGTGGATTCTGGACTACAATCTTTACATCTAGCTATTACTCTAAAAGCATATATTAAATTTGGTAAAACTTTTGCTTCTAAATAAACCTAAAAAAAATTAATATTTATTAAACTTCATAACTTCATTATATTAAGTTTTAAACTTAGTTTTTTATTACCTCTTCAATATTTTTGGTTTCTTTTTCTGTAGGCCCATGAACAACAAAAGGTAGAGCTAACATATTGGCAACATACTCTAATACTTTTGGTGAAGCATTATAATTTCGTAGAGGAGCAATGACTACAGATACTAAATTAGTGTTTTTTAAGCAATCTAACTGACCTGATAATAATTCCTGAAATACAAACGTCATTCAGATAACATTCGAAAATTCTGCTACGGTGCTTCTTTACTCGTTTTACATAAAATAAATTTAAATTTACCTCCATATTTCTCTGCAGAAATGCCAGCCATTCTTCATTTTCGATAGTGCTTCCATTGTCAGCTGAATTCCAACTGTGTAAGGTAAAAGCTGTAGTTGGAACCATATTAAAGTGTTTACATAAATTGCGGTATTACTCTAAGTTCAGAATTTATTTTCAGGGCCCTTTTGTCAAAGTAAAATTGTGCGCGCAGAAATTTCGAGAAAAATTTTTTCGCAGCTTATTAACAGGTAATTATTATTTATTTAATTGAAATAAAATATATTTTGACACAAAAAATGCATGAAAATAATTATGATAAATGAATTTAATAATAATTTAATTTAAAATAATCATTCATTTGAAACTTTTTTTACTACTTTGTCTGAATGCCAGGTTTTCCGTTAGAAAAGTAGCCATTTTGGTAAAGAATTAATTATAGTTTATTAATTTTTAAGGATAATTATATTATTTGAAGATAAATTAAATGTTTTAATCTCATATAATAAAAATATTTTTTAATTTTAATACCACCATTAAATTTGAAGTGAATTATAAATTTGAAAATTTTAAATGATTGGAATACATTTCATTAAATGTATCCCAATCCCTAATATACCTAAATTATAAAAATATTAGAGAAAATTTTCTATGTTTATAATTAACGAAATTGAATACAATAATTTACTTTTTCAAAATTATATATATATATATATATATATATATATATATATATATATATATATATATATATCTTAAAAATATAAATTTGTTATATCTTTAAATATACAGGAAATACCTAGTTAAGTTTTTTACTTTTGATATATGTGTATACATATAAGTACATGAATCAAATTTAATTAATAAAATTGAATTAACTAATTTCAGTCTCTAAATTGATTTGTTTTTCTAATTAAAATAATAATAAAAAATAATTTTAATTAATTTGTAAAGGTTCTTTTAAAATATTTCCAAATGAATCTTCAGCAACAACCATTTTTACATTCTTTGTGTTTATGTTATGTACAGGTATGATAAATTGTTTAGGTAAATAAGTGTTTAAAAATTCCCATGAGGTAAGAACAAGTCCATTATCGTTTCGAAGCTCTATGACTCGAATACCAGAAGATGAATATATAGTATTTCTGAAAAAAGGGAAAAAACCTATAGGTAAATTTTTTTCTCATAGAAAATTGGATAATCTTCAAGAGGTAGAAGAAATATTTACTTGTAAGAATCAAATTCAATGGAAGACGTTAAATGTTCTGATACTTCATTATTGGCAAACCATCTAAAAATTTTATAAAAAAAAAATTTAAAACAAATAGTTTAAAAAAAAAAAAAATATTTTCATATTAGTTTTAGAATACCTATGATATTTAAGTAAAACAGCACAACTTTTATCCCAAAATGTCAAATCATCTATCCAAACTTTTGAAGTTGACGTCATTTTTCTTTTGTCATTTTGATACATTTCATTTTTACAGGTTTTGGAATTCCAAATTTTATTTTCAAAATCATTTAATGAGGAGTCTTTTCGAGGACTATTAGACCGGAGCATGGATTGACGACCTCTAAGCCTTTTGATTGGAGATGACATTCGGTAAGTTATGTTTAAATTTTTAGTAAAACAAACCGTCGAATGTTGAGCTTCGTTTCGTGCCGTTACGTTTTTATTTGCGTCTTTGGTTTGATTTCCTATGGTAAATACTAAATTGATATTATCGAATCCTCTCGCCATAATACCTTTTTTAGAATGCCCTAAATCGAATGCGTGTCCCAACTCGTGACAAACAGAACCTAGAGTTGTTGAGAAACAACTTCCATAAGTACCCCTAAAATTGTAAATAAATAATAAATAAGTGAGCAACGGATATTAATTTTAAAAATTTAAATTTAATCAAATTATGTAAATAATAATACCTGTAGCAACTATCATCCATAAATTTATTTTTATCGACTTTTGTTTCGTCATGAAATTTTGGTAAAATTTGACTTATGGTTTCCGGCCATGTATGAAGACAACCAGTTCCAAATATTGCTAAACCTCCTCCACCCAAGGCAATGTGTCCTTGCATTCTCGCCACCATTTCCTCGTAAGTTTCTGGCTCTTTTTCACTCGGAATGTATTTTGTGCAAGACAAAAATGCTAAAAATTTACGTTTATCACTTCCATATTGAGAAGACATGAGTTCTCTACCGAAATGTTCCCAAATCTCTTCTTGTTCCATATCGTAAACTTCTTCGGGAGTTAATTTACTATAAAATATAATGCATTCCATGTTTAAATCCATGTCACCGGAAAGTTGAAATGTTCTTTTACCCATGTTACATTCGTAAAGTTTTTCTGCCGTAAACGATTGTATGAGTTTCGAACCCAGAGATATTCTTTTACAAGCACTTTCCGGAGAACTGTCTTCGTCTTCGGGTGCCTGAAATCTACCATCGTGACCACTACATATTATATAAACGGGTAAAACGTGATAGCTGGTATTTTTCGTCTTATATTCAATATTTAAATTCAACACACAGTCTTCGAATTCGAATTCGAAATGATTTTTTCCCACGTTTAATTTTGCCAAACATTTAAAATTTCCATTTATGACCGGCCACGTGGTAACTTCTTCTGAACAATTATTATTATCGAATTTTTTTAACAATATTGTTTTCTCTCCTTCGGAATTACAATCTATTGAATAAGCCGACACGTAGCCTTTGATTATAGGCAAAGAATAACAAAAAACTTCTCCTTCGGTAACATTTGTCAGAGTTATGGCGTAATTATAAAAATAATTTTTTGTAATGTTATCCTGTGAAATCATCGTACCGAACACTACAGTAAAAAAAAAAAACGCGAAAACGTTACTTTGTTCGAATAACGTACAAATGTAAATTTATCTTGTCAGAATCTTTTTTACTTCCTCCCCTAATTCTAATTTTAACTTTAAATTACCACTTGAAAAACTTTTTTTCAAATTTAATTTTAGTCGAACAATTTTATATCACATTCGGTATTTTTTTTTTTAAATACTTTTTTTTTAATATCAATAATGATAATCATAACAATTATTTACATTATATAAATATTACAACCAAAAAAAAAAAAAAAAATGATAGCGATCGAATTGAACTTTTCCGTTTCCGAAATGTCTTCGTTCAAATGATAAAATTTGTCATAACGGTTCCGGAAATTGTTTTTTTTTTCTTATTATTATTATTATTAAAAATTATTTTTTAACGTAAAAGCTTTAAAAGCTTCGCGTTAGTAGACTTCGGAACAATCACTGCCACATTTATACGTATGAACAGCGTCGAGCAGACGAAACGTTCGGTTTACAACGTTTTGTATTATTTTCACGTCGGTGTAATTTCGTTTAATTAACACGTTCAAATATTTTTAAAAAATTTTTTTTAACGGTTTTTTTTTTTTAATTTAAATTTTTATCGTTGAAATATTATTATTATTATTATTTAATGGTGATTGTCGAAATATTATTAATGATAAAAAACAATATTATATTGTTAAGGAAAAAAAAAAAAAAAATGACGAACAAAGTTTGTTTTGCGTGAATTTTGTTTAGGCAATTTGCTGTTGCGTTCGGTTTAAAATATTATCGATTGGGCAAAATGAAGGTATTTCCTATACCACATATACTTTTTTTTTTTTTTTTATAAACTAACTTTCTGGTAAATTATTAAAAAAAAAAAAATTAATTTATTAAAAAATTTATCAGTCGTTCGAAAAAACAATTTAGTCAGTAATTGTAATAAAATGTAAAAACTTCGTCTTGACATATATATCTATATACTATAAAGAAAATTTGCAAGGCAACACATGGCAGAATACATAAAAATAAATTATTAATGACTATTAATAACTTAAACTAAAAAGTTAACAAATGATAAATAAAATTTAAAGAGGAAAATTTATGATTTTTTTGGTGTCGTTAAAAAGTCTAAACATGTTTTGTAAGGCGTTTTGCGTTGCTCATTTAAAAAATTTTTTTTTGAGGATAAAGTCAATTTTTTTTAAATTAATTTTTTTTTTTTTTACAAAAATGAATAAGACGGTTACTTTAATTTATCATTTAAAGACAGCTTTTTAAACCCCCCCCCTCCCTCCCTCCCCGTGAAATTTTCAATTAATTTTAATAAAACCCCCCCCCAAAAAAAAAAAAAAAAAATTTTTTTATTATTATTATTACTCTTTTAATTCGATTTAAAACGAATTGAATTTTTTTTTTTTTTTCGTGGCAGTAGACATTTCGATGTTTTATAAGGAAAATATTTTTATTAAAAAAAAAAAAAAAAATGGGTTTACATTTACGTATTTTTCATGTCGTTTTCATTTTCATTTTTTTAATCTGAACAATCATACTTGAATGATTTTCTTTAAAATCAATTTTTCATAAACATATATATTTATGGGAATCCCCCCCCCACAAAAAAACTGTATATAACATATATATATTCATAAAGCATAAAAATTGAATTTTTTTTTCGTTTTTAATAATTTCGTTTTTCTATAATTTAATGGATAAATTATTATTAACCGTTAAAAAAATATTTTTCTGTCTGCTTTATTTATTTATTTATTTATTTATTATTAAAATTACGCAATATTTAATATATTCATATTAAAAAAAATAATAATTTAATTAATAAATAATTTACTAATTAATTTATTTAACGATAACGATAAAATTACATAACGTAATAAAGATTGAGCGAATATTTAATACAAAAAAAATCAATAATAATAATAATAATATAATTTTAATTAATAAGGCAAATTTCAAATTATTATTATTATTTTTACGTTATTTTTCGAATTTTCTAAATCGCGGGACAAAATGAGGGACAATTGGGAGTAAAGAGATTAGAGAGAGAGAGAGAGGAGAGAGAGAGAGAGAGAGAGAGAGAGAGAGACAGAGAGAGGAGAGAGAGAGATAGAGAGAAAGAGAGACAGAGAGAGAGAGAGAGAAAGAGAGAGAAACAGAGAGAAAGAAAGAGAGATAGAGAGAAAGAGAGAGAGATGTTTTTACATCGGTTTGATTGTCTGTTGTTCAAAGGTCAACGATTTTTCGTGCCGTCATAAGAATATTAAAAAAAAAAAAGAAATGACATATCAGAGCGGTTTTTTTTTTTTCCTTTTTTACCTCTTTAAAAAGAAATTTATATTCTTTTATTAAGGGTCGAGTTTGTTGAACTTTAAGGGAAAGAAAATTTTTTTTTTATATATATATAAACGGAAGAAAAAAAAAAAATTTTCTCTTTTTTATGATTATTGCAGTTATTATAAACCCCCGATTCACAAAAGATTTTTTTTTATTTATTATTTTTAAGGTAGAAAAAAGAGAGAGAGAGAGATAGAATAAGGTATAAGAAGATAAAAAACCAAAACCGGAAAAATAATAATAATAATAATAATAATGGGGGGTGGTTTTATATTTAAAGAAAGTTTCCGTGCCATTTATTTATTGCACCAATATGAATATTATAGAATAAGAAGAAGAAGAAGATGACGACGTGCCAATATACAAAAGAATAAGAGAAATTTATTTATTTTTATTTTCTTTCATCTTATTTTTTTCCTTTTTTTAAAACGTCGGGTACATTTTTTTTTTTTTTTGTTTGTTTGTTTGTTAGGAGTGTCCCGTCTTTTTTTTTTTTTTACACTCGCATACAAATAAAACTTTGCGTTACCGAAAAAAAAAGTATTGGTAGTGGCAGCAGAAGAAAAAGCAGGAAGTAAAAAAAAAAAAATTACATTTACGTCACTAAAATTGACATTTTTTTGACAAGAAAGAAAGAAAGACAGTTTTCTCTCTCTCTCTCTCTCTCTCTCTCTCTCTTCTTCTTTTCTTTTCTTTTCTTTTCGGTTTTTTATTTTTTATAAAAAAAAAAAAAAAAAAATTTTTAATAAAAAATAAAGGTTTTCTTCTTTTTTTTATGCAAATACATTTTTTTTTTTTTTTTTTTGGATTCGGTTCGAAAAATTTTAATCGGGAATTTAATTTACAAAAAATAAACTTGTAAAAAGGAGGGAGGGGGGGAAAAGAAAATTTTTTCTTATTATAAACATTGTTGACAAAAAAATTGACAAAAAAAAAAAGAAAATTGTCAATAAATATTAAAATTTAATCGATAATTCGATAACTTATAGTCTCTCTCTCTCTCTCACACTCTCTCTCTCTCTCTCTCACACTCTCTCTCTCTCTCTCACACTCTCTCTCTCTATGTATATTTTTCGGTTCGTTTTATTTGTTAAAATAATTTTACAAACGATTTGAAATTTAAATGACAACAAATAGAAATCAAACCGCAGTAAAACATTTTATAAATGAATAAAATAAATTGTAGCAGACGAAAACAGAGAAAAACAAAATAAATTTCGATAGAATAAATTTTAATTGCAAAAAAAAAAAAAAAAAAATTGAAGAAAATTGCAATTTTTTCAAAATTTAATTTCAATTTATCCCTTCTTTTAATTAATTAATTATTTTTTAAACCATTTATTTTTAATAAAAAAAAAAGAATTTTTAAATTAAAAACTTTATTTATTTTATTATTAAAATTTAATCGAATCGTAATTATTTAATTAAATTTAATTTATAAAAAAAAGGGAATTTAATTTTTTTTATCACGTGACAGAGACATTTAATCAATCTTAAATTTAAAAAAGAAATAAAATTTACGATCAACCTTCGAAAAATTTTTCCCAAACTTACTTTTCTTTTATTTTCATTACGTATTTAATTTCTTAGTAGAAAATAGTTTTTTTTTTTTTTTTTCAGCAAATACATAATAATTTATTTATTTATTTATTTTAAAAAAAAATGAAATTTTTGTCCTTAAAAATACACTCTCTCTTTTTTTATTTATTTATTTTGTTTCTGTCAATGTGTTGTATGAAAAAAAAATATATACGCATGAAAAATACGGGGGGGGGGGTTTATTCATTTTTTATAAGTAAATTACTAAATTTTTGACATTCCAAGGCTACGTTTTTTTTTTTTTAAATTAAAGTAAAAGGGTTGAAACAATTTTTTAAAAAAAAAAAGTTGTTGCGTATTATTTTTTTATTATTGTAAATCTAAAAAAAAAAAAAGAAATAAGAATGAATATTTAAAGGTTTCAACCTTTTCCCTTTTAAAAAAAGAAAGGAGTAAAAAAAAAAAAAAAAATTTTTTTTTTGTTTATCATAAAAAAATTGTTTACTTTCGTAAAACCTTCGCAAAAGGGTAAAAAAACATAATAATAATAATAATAATAATAATAAATGTTGTCACTAGTCAGTTGAAAGTAAAAAAAAAAATTTGATGTTCACGTTTTAAAACTGAAGTGGTTAAAAAAAAAAAAAAAAATATTTATCTTTTCATTATTGAAAAACTCGTGTAGGCACAAAATCACAGGCAGGTTTCTGAACCTAATTGCACGTCAATTATTATTTTAAAAAAAAAAAGAATAAAATTATGTCAGGCAAAGATTTTGATAAAAAAAAAAATTTCTACGTGTGATCTACGTATGTCTGAGAGCCCGCTCGTGTGTTTGTGTTTGGTTGTTGTCTGTATTGACAACTGGTGCATTTAAAAGGCTACAAACGATTTGTTGTAATTGTAGTATTCACTCAATGGCAGCCTGTATTAATTTTTTTTTTTTTTTTTTTAAATTTCTCATTTAATTGTTTTGCTTAGTTATGTATTTTACGTGTCGATGTATATAATAATAATGATTTTACGGTTATTTTTTTGTTTTTTTTTTTTTCGTAAACAAAATTTGATTTCTTTACATGCATCAGCCAAAAAATTGTGTAAACTTT